CGAGCTTTTCACTAGACAAGTGCTGACTGGTCCATCGTATCAGCCTTAGCAGACGCCGTATCAAGAAAAGACATCAAAAAGCTGGTACAGAACAAGATATCGATCTCGAAACCTTGGCTACGTTACATGCAGACAACGCAGATTTAAAAATGTGCGAAGAAAAGCTTAACTCCATCTGCGAACGTCTACGGATTCTTTTCTCCGAGTTTTCATATCATCTGTGACGTTTAAGCAGGCGATACCCGTCCCTTCGCTCCTAAAGTTTACTGGCGAAGAGTGTTTCGACAGCTCCATGGTCTATCACACTACGATATTTGGGCTACAACAAAACTCATCATGAAACGTTATGTTTGGTCGAAAATTAACTCAGATGTAGAAATGTGACGGCGGAACTGCATATAATGTCAGCACAGTGAGGTATAATGGCGTGTGGTCAGTGTCAATATAAAATTTTTATAATAATAATAATATATTCTGAAAATAATATTTACAGAATTCACACCAGTTTACAGGCATGATCAGATTGTTATAAAAATCAACATTTAATGTAGAGAACAAACATGAAATATAAGAAAGTTTTATGTTTGCTGGTTTAGTAATTGATAAATAGTTTAAATATGGCATATGTCACGGCAAGCCAATACAACACCAGGGAACTTGTCATTTTTTTATTAAGTGGATAGCCTGATGATTGATCAACATTATTCTGTAAGGTTATTACCAGTGCCAGAGCGAGTTATTATTAATTATCTACAACTAGAGAAAGTAAGATTAAAGCAAAGAGCACGGAACACCAAAACAATGATAGCAAATAAGAGGTTAAACATTTAAAGTTCCTATAATCTCACTTGTGGAGTAAGATACACTTGCAGGCGCTAGAGCATTTAATGCATTTTCAGAGGAGCAAAAAGCATTAATTGAGCGAACAAACAATGGGAGAGAGTCTAACATACGGATAGTTTGGGGTAAATTATTCCAGAGTCTAGAAAACTTACAGGTAAAGTAATTCATATAGAGAGAAGATCTAGAATATGTTTGTTTCACTAAAGACAAGGAGTTACGAATGTCATATTGTGAGGCCTTAGCATATTGAATCGCCTGGCTGGATGTGAAGGAGAGTTTGTTAAGTATTTTGAAAAAAAAGATAAGGTTAAGTTTGAGTCTCCTCTTCCATAAAGGGTCAAGCCCTAGTTTAATACACCTCGAATTATATGTCAAGACACTATCAGGTCCAAGAGTACGAAATGTAAATCGTCTCTGTACTGATTCCAGTCTTAATTTATCCTTTATGCGCGTGCTACTAAGGAGAAACGCGCAGTATTCGAGGAGTGGTCGAACACAGACTTTGTACATTAATACACGAGATTCGCTGTTATGAAGGTTTCGAGTTATGAAACCTATAAGGCGTTGAGCCTTGGACGTTTGTTTCATTATGTGTTCAGTAAACGACAAGTCGTCAGAGTACCTAAGTCCTAGATCTACTACTGTGTGTAACCTAGATAACATTTCACCATTTATGGTAAGATTAAGGTTGAGTGATGCATCACCGAAGCATAGCCAACCACATTTAGCTGTATTGAGCTCCAGTTGCCATTTCGAGCACCACTGTGCTACCTTGTTAAGCTCCGTGCTGATACAATTTTGAATATTGCTCAGCTTTTTTGAAGAAAATGAGTACACCACCTTAAGATCGTCTGCATACAAAAGGAACTTACCCTCACTAAAACACTCACAAATATCATTAATGAAAACTAAAAAGAGCAAAGGACCTAAGACACTACCCTGAATTACCCCACTTCTAACAGGGACTGCGTTCGACAATGAAGAGTTGATTTTAACTATTTGATGTCGATTGCTGAGGAAGGAATCAAACCAGGCTAGTAACGGGTTTTGGACCCCATAAGATGCGAGTTTACCTATGAGAAGTTGGTGGTTGACCATGTCGAAGGCCTTAGAAATGTCCAGGTATAGCACTAATACTAGATATCCTTGGCTACGAAGCGAATAGACTAAATTAAAGAAGTCAAAATGACATGTCATACAGGACCGATTTTTAAGAAATCCATGTTGCGAATCATCAATAAATTGTTCAGTCAATAAATAGTTGGATAGTTTGTCACTAATAATTTTTTCCATAATCCTAGAGATAACTGGAGTAATATTTATTGGCCGATAGTTGTTTATGTCAGTCTTATCTCCGGATTTGTAACGTGGTATGATGTACGCTGTTTTCCAACGGTCAGGATAAGAGCCTGATTCCATAGAGAGGGTAAACAGTTTAAGGAGAAGAAGTTGGATATCTGGACCACCATATTTGTAGAGAAATGATGAAATCCCGTCTGCACCGTGACCCTTCGAAACCTTGAGCTTATTTATAACCTTACTAATTTTCAGACATGTGAAGGAGATAGATTTAATTGAGTTACCAGTCAAGCATATAACTCTAGAAACAGAGACATTTATGGATTCTTTGCCTATTGCAAAATTACCACTGAAAAGGTCTGCTATAGTTTTTGGGTCATTATCCAGCACGTTCATACAGATACCGTCGGTCTCCTCTCACCTTTTAACTCTTTCACTCACATCATAATCAGTGTCCACAGGTTTACCAGGTGGACAACAGCATATCCCATTAGAGATACATAAGCACAGTCGATAGACTCAGTACTCTTTTACAGTCGGATATCAAAATATGGATTGCCATTACCACCACTACAGAACGAGGATCCCAGTTTCAATTTGTCCTATTCTAGGAGTTCATCAGACTTTTAGGAGTGAATCACACAAAGGCAACAGCTTACCACCCGTCATTCAGTGACCCATTCGAAAGATTTCGCAGTCAATAAAAGTGTCCGCCAATGTCATGGTCTGACACGACAAAATGGGATGACATTTTACCACTAGTCCTCCCTGAGTTTCATTTTATCAACTTACGAAGATGTATACTGCACATATTGCCGAACTATTCTACAGTGCAACTTTGTTCCCTACTGAACCAACCGGTTAAGCCTAACGAAAAGAACACCAAGCGATATAACACGTGTAGTGAATTTTTTATTACAGACAATGACGCAGAATAAAGAGGCACCTCCGCGTGAAAATGGTTGTCAGGTACAATTCAAAAAATATCTACAGACATGCAAATTCATTTTTATCCGCGTCAACGCCATTCGGAAACCATTAAGGCAACCGTATGAAAGATCTTACCAAGTCGTTAAATGTATAAGTAGACACTCCATTATTGACAAAAGTGAAAAGAAGTAAACCCGATAGGTAAAATAAAACCTGATTTCTATGTCGACTAACAGAAAGAAGAAAATGGTATTTTAAGTAAGCATTCCCAACCATTTATTAAAACAAAGCCGGATACCAACAAGAAACTAAGTGTCAATCATACATGCTCAACACGTTCAGACGGAGCAGTAAAAAGCAAGAAATCAATGTTTACTTTATAGATTACCAAAAAACACAGAAATACCAACTAAAAAAATACTCAATCAATTTGACTTAATAACAACAATAACAGCTTTTTGTCCAATTTAAAGTGAATCAGGTCGTGAAACTTTGAATAATGTAATTTGAAAGTGTATTTACGTGGGTTAATCAGTCAGATCACTCCAAATTAATCAGAGTGGGATAAAATGCAAATACCTTAGTACAAGAATGGGTTTTATGATTTCGTTTTGGATAGTTTTTCAAGTAATCATATTATTTGGAGGTAGAGCTGAATGAAACTCTGGAAATATCTTTTGCCAAACTGGTCAACTCGGAACTTAAATATGGCAGTATATGATGTACTCGTAAAGTTTTTTTACAATTAGCATTGGATTTAAAATCATAAAGAACTGAAGCCCGTGTATATTCCACTGCTAGTAATGCATGGAGGTAAGATTTACTAAAACTGTATGTACATACTTTACTGTATCACAAAGTGTTAGCCTCACACCATTAAGATTTTGAAAGCAGCTAATTATCATCTGCCGATCTGCAATCTAATAACATCTTCCAGAAGTTCTAGTATATCTTTTTGAAAATTTTTATTTCATACTTTCTCGATCTTAGCAGCAGGAGGCTTCCGCGAAATTGATACCATAGTTTGTCGTGTTTGTTCATGAGGTGCATCACTGATCTTAGTGCTGAACCGTTTCTCACACCAATATGAGAATACATATTGCCATGTCTAAATTCTGCTCTGGTCTAATTTTGAAGAACGGTTCATTGATAAACCCGTAAACTACGACTCAAACAACGAAGAAGAACAGATTTTATTACAGGTACCAACATTTTTGCATAAATTGCAAGTAATCAACACGTATATATTATTCTAATAATAATTTTGAAACAAGCCCTCAAAGGCAAAATTGTCGAAATCGCAAATAGAGAAAGTAGGGAACCGGGGATTTCCAGGATTACAGTTCTAAACAGGCACGTTTCACGTATATTAAAAAAATTTTGAATAGCATTTCCTATCTGTTTGTGGATCATCATCATACTTTCCTTCTATTTGTTACTTCATTTGCAGTATTTTTCTGTCGTCAACTATTCGGAGTTGTTTGCATGCGTCTTATGCGGGAATGTTGCCTTTTATTGGGACAACAAAAAGCATGTCTCCTACTGCGTATTACGCAAGTTGTTATATAACAGTTGATGATATTTTGTTCTAAATGTCGTTAAGCCATCAACTATCTTGCTATGCTCATATCAACTGTGGAACATAGGTTCGGTTTCTATGCTTTTTAGCAAGTTATTTAACATTAAGGTGTTCAATATTTTACAAGAATCTAACTACTTACTTATTAAAATAAATATGAAGCTAATTATGGCAGTGTAGGGTCGGTGAAATGTCACTGCATATCGAACAGATCATCGATCCCTGTCAAGGTCAAGGATAGTCGACGCGCATCAATCAATGATATGCCATGGACTGGCCCACGAGGCAGTGGTTATTCTTTCACTTCTGTATTTTCGTGGCGTAACCTTAACTAATATATTCTTGTAATAACGTCCTTTGTGTTGTACAGTCTCCATAGCGTCCATGATCCTTTAATGCGTCGATGGTTCATTCCACGTAAGGGCTGGTCGCGAGGTGTGACTTCAGCGTTAGTTGGTTCGTCACCATTCTCGTCTAACTATAGTAGGCTCCCAATCATTTCGACATAGAATATCAACGTAGATGTTCTACAGCAGTATTTCTAACACCAAGTGTGCATATAGCAAATTATCAGGATAAAAAATAGATTTTAAATCATAAAATTAATGATTTTCAATTATTTAGGCTATATGTAGTTCGCTCTTAATTGAATAATTATCAAAATGTTTAGTACACATAAAAATTTTAAAATATTCAATTAGGCGAAGATGATCAGGAGTAATAACGGAATACTGAAATTACAAAATGAATATATCACTTCTTTTTTTTACATCAAATAGTGTTTGGGAAATAAAAAAAACACACGCAACACGCATTCAGAGGCGATGTAAATTCAAAAGTGGGATGTTGACTAACACAGTGTGCTTGATAAATCTTTGCGTAAGTTGTTGAGCCTAAGCAAGAAACAGGTTATGAGATGTAAGACTAACTAATAAAAAAGCAGGATACAAACAGTATGTACAATACTTTGAAGCATAGTATTTAAAAATAATTTAACATTTACTGTTTATCATACTATTTTGAGTTTAAAGGTAATAAACATAACTGTTCAACTTCCAATATCTGAAACTTAAACATGAAGACAAAAAACAGTAGTATATTTGTAGATAGATATTTGTACATCATACTAACCAAACAATTGGGTAAAACACTGATGACAGTATGGTTTACTTGAATGTTCTTTAAATGTACCAGTTTGTAATGGATGTAAACAATAAGCGCATAAAAAATGCTCTGGATGATAACGTTTACCGAGCGCGTTTACACACCTTCCAGTAATTGGTAGGGAGCATGCAAAGCATAATAATCCACGTCTTGAATAATAGTGAGAATCACAGTAAGGATATCCTTCAATTTCATGGAAACTTGACCCAGTGAGTATTCTATTACAATCCTGTATAAAAAGAGGAAAATGACTGAAATGAGGGAAAAGATAATGACGAACTAGATAAGACTGGAAATATATATAAATGGTTAAATCACTTTATAATTAAAAAAGCATATTGTTTGATCATCAAACTGTCAGTGATTTAAAAATCTTTGGTTTACTGATGATACGAGTGGTGAATTAATTCCTGTGACACAGTGGGTTGTGTACAATTAAAACTTTCTATTGAAGCGTGCGTCGTCCATTTGTATTGTCAAAGTACAATGAAATCCCCGAAATATTTAAAATAGCTGAAAGTTGATGTACACTATGAAATCTTTGGAATTATCACTTTTCCAAAAAAACATTATCACTTTTCAATTGTATCACATGAGTCAATCACTACTCATTAATCCGATCTAATATGTTTCTGAACTATATTCCTTCACAAAAAAGTACAGATATAAGAACGAAAAGTATTCTTTCCAATAAGTTCATATTGGGTATCACAATATTAAATTCAAATTATTTTGTCTAAAAGAATGTCAAGTTTGAGACAAATGCATGTTTTTAAGTTATACGATTGTATATCAGTTATTCTGTTAGATTAAACGTTGAACCCAGTAGTTATGTACATTGGTTAGAATCGTCGAACCACAATGGTAAAACAAAGTGAATTTTTTAGGGTAGATCCCTGAGTAGTAGAGGTAATAATAGTATCAGTGGTAATAGAAAAGATTGAGCATCGAGGATGAGATTCAAGAAAACATAACATAATTAGTGAAAACATGGTTGAGGGACTTGGCAACATGGGCTCTACAAAAAGACGAAGGAAATATAAGTGTGATGTTTAAATAAATCAATGACTTCTTCGTATTGATGACTGTTGTAATTTTGAATTCCAAATACAATACATTCGTTCGGGCTCATCTAATACTTCTTGATTACGTTGCGTTATTCCTGGGATTACTAGTTTATACTACAATTCAAATACTTCTGATCATCATAATAAGTTAATGTAATGAAAAAATTATGAGGAATTTAGAAACCTGGAATTTAGGGGGAGACAAAGAGTGAATCCACCCGTGCCCCTACAAACGATTTTGCCAACGTCATTCTAAGTCTCTAACTACTGGTTACAACAATCACGCGGTCACGATCAGGTAGTCTATACCTACTTAAATGGCTCAGTTCGATTGTCAGTGACTTCATGGACTGATGGCACATTTTGGTCTGACCTCCACTAGGGTTCTTTCAACCTATTTTTACACTAGAAAACATCACTCTTCAAGGAAGGAAGTGGTTAGTTGTTAGTAACACATGTCCAAACCGCCTCAGTTGATGAAGATTTACTACTTCATCAAGTGGTTTGTAACCTTTGCCTAATACCGTATTCCAGACCCAGATGTTGCTTACTCGGTGGTCCAAAAATACACGAGTGACGCTTTTAGGACATCTATGGTCGAATAATAGGAACTTACAAATATTTTCCGTTCCTAACGACTATTTTTACACCCACAAAAAAGAACGAAATGAACAGTTGTACAGTAAACTCGTTCTTTGTTGATAGACGGATATTTCGCTTACGCCACAAATAAAGTGTTTGTTTGTAAGATATAATAACATTGTTAAAATGACTAGTAAGCAGTGTTAACGTAAATCAGTTTGTACTTTACAAATAACTGTAGACAGCATATGGTGAGAGAAATAATAATTCAATCACAAACAGAACTAAATATTTGGTCAGATATATGTAAACATAAATAACATTAACAATTATACTTAACAATTATCACTTGACATAGCATCTTTGTTCACTAACATCCCCCTGATTGAAACTATCGATTACATATGTGAACAAGTGCTAGAAAAGAAAATAGGGATACCGATTCCAATAAATAAATTGAAAGAACTCCTGTTGAAATGTACTATGAATATCTACTTTAAGTTTAACAATGAATTTTACAGACAAGTAGATGGAGTAGCAATGGGATCACCACTAGGCCCGATCCTTGCTGACATTTTTCTGGCCAAACTGGAAAGTGGACCGTTAAAAGACACCTTAAGTAAGCTAGACTACTACTGTCGATACATAGATGACACACTAATCGTATGCGACGAAATGGTTGACAAACAGGAGATGTTAGACTTTTTCAATAACGTCCACCCAGCTATTCAATTCACCAGCGAAGAAGAGAAAGACAATAGTATAGCTTTCCTCGACGTCCTACTTTCTAGAAGGAGAGATGGTTCCATTAAACGAAATATATTTAGAAAGAATACATGGACGGGTCAGTATACCCATTTCCAAAGCTTCACTCCTCTTCAGTATAAAATAAATTTGGTTAAATGTCTCAGTCACAGAATCAAGCTATTATGTTCTGAGGACACTGTTGAGAGTGAAATAGATATACTGAAAAATACATTGCGAAGGAATGGCTACCCGGATAAGTTCGTTAAGAAATACCTAGTAGAAAGTACTGTTAAAATAAGAAGAAATTGTGAAACAGTGAGTAAAAAAAACCTTGTATTTGATACTGGACTTCAAAGGTGACATAGCGAATGATATTCTAACACGCCGATTGAAAAGATCGGTTGAAAGGACGTTTTACGCCGCTAAGCTACACGTCACTTTCTCAACTAAACCAGTACTCACACAATTAATCAAGGATAAGTTACCGAAGATGGGCTCTTCCATGTGTGTATACCAATTCAACTGCTCCTGTGGAGCTAGTTACATAGGCCGTACTCAGAGGGCTTTATCCTTGCGTATTCGTGAACATGTACCAGCATGGTTCGGAAAAGGAGTCACTAAATCCATTAACAGCGCCATCCTTTCTCACTTGGTAGACAGTGAACATCATATCAAAATAGAAGAAGCCTTCTCTGTTTTATATCAAGTTCCGAAAACTCTACCTCAAAGAGCTAGATTACGATTACTTTACATAGCCGAAGCCATCTGGATCAACTCTAGAAAACCAAACTTATGCATCCAAAAAAGTATATCCAGCCACTATGTTTACCTTGGCCTACGACTGGATCACCGGTTTCCTAAACTAAATATTATAAACCTCCCCTTTTTTCTTTTTCTTTTTTTTTCTTTGTTGATCACCTCTATCTTAATCTTCACATCCATCATTCCCAATTCCTTTATCGTAATTATCTTGATAACATCCCCCCTTTTATTACGTATTATATTCACACAACAATCTTATTATTATTACTATTACTATTTATCATTATTATCTCAATTGACAAGATGAAATTATCCTACCATAAATTCTATTCACAAATTTTTTTTTTTTGCATTTTCATTTTTCCTAAATTACTATTATATTAATGGTGACTAGACACTTGATTACAAATCACTTTGACCTTTATTAAATGACCTTTCTAATTTACAAGTAACACAATTTTAAAGTATATATATGTCGTAACAGATGCAAACGTTTACCATTTTTAACATATAACATTGTCAAATTAATTAATACATGCCTCATTTTGGACTTTGTAAAATATCACAATAATTATGGACTTATAACTGTAGAGCCTGATGATGAAGTTATTGAAAACAATTGTTCGCTCAAATATTGTTCATTTTTGAATTATACTTCGTTTTACAAATGATCCTGAATTTATAAACTACTATATTCAAGAATGCTTTAAAGTCGGTCATCATTTTCAACAATCAATTTGGATTTATAATTTTCAAAACTGGAAAAAATTTGCTGGAAAAAAAATTTTGATTTAATATCTATACTTTCAATACGATCAGAATTTTTAAGCAAAAGTATTAAGAGGAAAGTTGGCAAAAGTAGCTGTGCAATTAAAATTGATTGAATAAAATAACTTACGTGACAAGTAAAACAGTCTTTGTGCCAAGGCATATCCAGTGCAGTTATATATGCATCTGTAATAGGTTGTTGACAGCCAGAGCATGGAGTTCCAAATCGTGTGAAATAGCAGTTACTTTATATAGAAAGAAATGATTTATAAGTTTTACAATTTAAACAAAATAATTTAAAATAACATTCAGTTTAGTTACTTTATAACAGAAAGTAAGCCACCGAATGTAAAATCTTACAGTTAATGAAGATCAAAAATTGTAACTGAGTTATGAAATAAATGAATTTTATTAAAAACTACCTGCCTAAAATGTCGATTATAATTTATGATGATTTTGATCTATAAAATTAAACTAATAAAATTTATTATTATAAATCTGTTATATCCCCTGGTGAATGATGAATTGTAAATCTGAGGTATATTATGGACAAAGGTAATATGCCTAATTCCTATTGTATAGTTGTTAAATAACTGACCTAATTGTATTCGTGTTCCTCTTATCATAACCTTTATTTTGACCTTTGAACTATTGTTATTGATTACTTTCCCCCTATCCATAGCCACATTGGCCAATTACTGTACAAATGTTATTTTTCTATTTTTTGGTATAATTGGGTCTGTTTGGTTAGTATATATAATCCAGTATGCTTGTGAATAATGATTCATATTGCTGAGGCTGTTATTTGTGTTCTGGACTTAACGGCTGGGCTAGGCAGATAGGAAGGACCGAATAGCACCCAAGACTGCTCGTACGTATTTTCGGTATCATTGCACGTCCATATCATTTACGAGTTTGTATAAATCATAACAATTGGCGACGGGTAAAAAAATGGCTCTAACTTCCATCCAATTTCAGTTGCTAATCCAGCAACTAGAACAGCTCGTTAGAAAGAGTCAATTGGATTTCATTGACAAATTACGCGCGAAGCTGCTGAATCACCCATGTTTTGGGGGTGAAACGGAAGTTGAAGCAATAATTTCAAAATTGCGTACAGAGCAGGAAAACGATTACAGAACTAATGAATATGCCGGCGAAAGCCTCAATGAATCCGTACAAAACAGTAATTTAAATGCAGCAGTAGCAGTCCTACATGATCAGCCCAGTAGTCCGGTACTGCCTGTTTCAGACACATGCCCTATACACGGTCCAAGTCCTATTAACCCCGTAAACGGACGTGCAAACAGTGGATCAACTTCTTTACAGAAAGACAATGTTTTGCTAAATGCCCATGAAATTGCTGCAGTACCCGCCCACGAAGAAACGGGGAACAAACCGAACAGTATAGTGAATACAATGGCGCCAAATGAAACTAATCATGATGAAAAAAATTTTTCTAATGAATCTAATGATCAAAATTATCTAATTGTTCTGCCAGATCCCGATTATTTCGCTGATTCATATGTTCCTGTTCAAATCTCTTATAAAAATGTGAGAAAAATATCGGATGCATTAAATGATAATCAAGAATCCAATACAACTCTCATAGATACTGATTATCCTAATGATTCATTATCTACTAATGAGGTTCCGAGGAAATTCACGGGAACTATTTCAGAAGAATCAAATGTTGGTGACCTCAAATCAAATGTCATCGATCCTCATGATCTCGTCAGTTCTAATGGATTCCCTGTTAAATGTGTCAAACATGACAAACATATCGAAATAATAGTAACTTGGTTATATGAGGATCCAACAGTCTTTCGTGGGGGAGGGGGAATTCGAGAAATTTAAAATCCGGATATGAACTCCGGATTTCTCAAAAAGGGGAGGTGTTATATCCCCTGGTGAATGATGAATGGTAAATCTGAGGTCTATTATGGACAAAGGTAATATGCCTAATTCCTATTGTATAGTTGTTAAATAACTGACCTAATTGTATTCGTGTTCCTCTTATCATAACCTTTATTTTGACCTTTGAACTATTGTTATTGATTACTTTCCCCCTATCCATAGCCACATTGGCCAATTACTGTACAAATGTTATTTTTCTATTTTTTGGTATAATTGGGTCTGTTTGGTTAGTATATATAATCCAGTATGCTTGTGAATAATGATTCATATTGCTGAGGCTGTTATTTGTGTTCTGGACTTAACGGCTGGGCTAGGCAGATAGGAAGGACCGAATAGCACCCAAGACTGCTCGTACGTATTTTCGGTATCATTGCACGTCCATATCATTTACGAGTTTGTATAAATCATAACAAAATCATAAGCCAATTATGATGGTTGGAGGTGGTCAACAGGAAACCCTGGACCTGGGTTTCGTGCTACCTGGCACTCATCAGCAAGGTGTACCTGTAATATTGAGGGAACTGGCGCTCCCCGACGGATTCGATCCCATGTCACTCAGCTTTATACTCATGACATTGATCACCACCCAGTGATCAATCAATTGTGAAAACATAAATTATATAAGACTGATAGTTTATTTAAAAATCAAAATATTTATTTGTTTATTTGATTATGAATTTAATACTAGCAATAAGAGTAATAAGAAGACGAAGATGATCAGAACTACCCCTCCCATTCCCAGTCTAGTTGAACTCCTATTTTTATATATAAATGTTCTTAACAAGTTTATGTGTGATCAGACTGTTCGAAATGTATTGCGCTAATATATCATCACATAGTTCTGATAATCTTCATCTTCTTATTACACTATCTAAATTTATCAAAGGGACTAATTGCTTGAAATAAGAGTAATATTCTATTAACTAGTTCAATAAACTCTTTAAGTTGTGATAAGTTATGAAGAAAAAAATGTGTAAATCGTAAATCGTATTCATCACCTGATTTTTTTGTTTCTCGTCGACAGTTAACCTAACTCCAGTGGTTAGTTCCAAATGATTACACAATGATAATTTATTTGTGAAATTGATAAGCAAATTGAAAAATCATAGAACATTTAAAAGACAAGACTACTTGGTCAACTAATTAAATATACAGCTAAGATGATCTGACTTCTCACATATAACAACTGCCGAAACATAGATGAAAATGTAGAATATGAAGTAATGGATGATTCTTTGTTTTTATTAATTCTAACACAGATAGAATGGTTGCTTAGTAGTAATCTGAATAAAAATTTCCTGACATATTTTATCAGCTTAAATTCAGAAAAGATAAATTATCATTAAGTGGTTAGATTTCTTCTGTTTATGGATGGTAAAGAGAACAAGACTAAATGTAAAGCAATTAGTCCCTTCGATAAACTTCGATAGTGTAATAAGAAAACGAAGATTATCAGAACTATGTGATGATATATTAGCGCAATACATTTCGAACAATCTGATCACACATTCATATATATAAATAAAAGGTCAACTAGACTGGAAATCGGGGGGGGGGTAAGAGTAGACAAGGATATGTATTGCGCTAATATAACACATAGTTCTGATAATCTTCGTCTTCTTATTACACTATCGAAATAGACCAAATATGTTAAAGTTATAGAGGAAATTTTTTTACTAAAATACTAAATGTAGATTTTAATTATATGAATTGTATGATTTTATCTTGTAATATGTATATGCTGCTTTCGATTCAATTTTGACTGAAAATATTTAGCAAATTAAATGAACTTTTTAACCTTTGTTCATTTAATATCTTATAAATAGTCAACAAAACATGGTACTATTATAAAACAAAATAGGTTGTATGTACGTCTAATTGAAGCTATCCATGCATCTTTTATAAATCACTCTACGTAGCAAACGATATATTAAAACAATAAGAAGTCATATTCTTACACATCTAGTCGATATCAGATGCTAATATGATGTGAAGTCAGTTTTAAAATTATGTGTTGAGTAATAACCAATCTACTTTATGTTTCACGTTTTAGATTTTTGTATAACAAGGAAATCGTAAGAACCTAGATATATGAATTCAATGCATGAACTCATAAAACATTTTTACAGCCTTTTTCTTTAGATCACCTACATCCTCAATCAAGTGAACAGTATTAATATGCATATGAATTACTTATTTCTCATTCTTATCCTTACATAATCAGTTTCACAAGGTAACCAACTGCTTTCTTCTTTCACTGGTCTTGATAATCATTGTTTAACATTACAAAACTTACGAGCAGTAAAATTTGCCATTTTGTTCATGTACTGTTAACGATCCATTAAAAGTGGAATGACATTCGTAACAAAAAAAGTGCTCAGGATGCCATGCACGGGCCAAAGCCAAAACACATTTCTAAAATAGTTGAAATAATTTAATAAAAATTTAGGAGATATATTCATAAGAAAAAAAAGTTTGTTGGTAGGTTGCTTTAAGTTGAATACGAAGCTTAAAAAAAAATTTAAAAATAGTGTTTGTAAATATTTACAATTTCTTTACTCGTTTTCATGAATACCTTTTAGTCATTTTGCCAAACATTATTTCTGTATATTGAGACAAATAAAGTTTTCCAAATTATCAATAAAATAATAAATAAAGTTTAAAAATGAACAACGGTGACGAATATCTCGGTAGGTGGAAAGGTAACAAGGCAGAAAATACTCTAATCCCAAAAATGATTTAAATATGAACACAATATTATTTCCAAGATCCGGATAGATGCTAGATATATTGTGAAAAATATCGAGTTCACCTGCAGGGTTTTTAGATTAGTTTAGATGTAAAGGAGGACAACACTATCAAGTTGTATAAACACGAGCAGGTGCAAGTGACATCAAATCTAATAACTCTTCATTTTAAGATTAAGATATAAGAAAATCATTGGGCTTATAAAAGCGATATTTATTTATATTTGAAGAATACTGAAGATAATCTCACAACTGTGTAACCTCGATATTTTACACACAAATGAGATAACGAAAGTAGAGATAGTTGGATTTAGAAATTCGGAAATCTGCTGAGATCTATCGAGAAATAGATTTTAGGTAATTATACTACTTTATAAAATATGAGTAGCATAATGTAATTTTAAAATGTTTTGCAATTGTGCTGAAATATAGTGTAAACAAACCAAAATTTCGCAAGTAATTTAATAACATATTATTCCATCAGTTGTAAGGTACTAGCTACTATTCAAACAATAGTAAAACTAGGGCGGATATATTTCATGTTATTTTTGAAATGGTGTAAGCAATCGATAATTTGACGATAAGCATGGGATTTTTTAGACTGTCATATAAAATATTCAGAAAGATACTTGAGATGGTTATATATGACTAAACCATGTTCACGTATTCAAGCTATAATTCCTGTGTTATGGAAAATTAGACTTGTATTGGTCAGTCAGTCTATCATTGCTTATTTCACTTGATTCTCATAAAATATGACCGATGATATGTACACCCCTTCCAGTTAGAAAATAAGGATGGTCACTGTTGTATGCTTCATGAACCAAAAGCTAACTAAAGACAGGAGTAAGATGAAAATATGCTATGCATAACATACGGAAACGTAGAATCGATGAAAAGCTGGACTCCTTTCAAAACTTTTAATTAAGATCTTTAGATCTAATTGGGGTCGTTTTATTATCTATGGAGTCAGTCAGAACCCAGCATCTTAATGTTAATCAACGTCAAGGCAGTCATTATATTAAAGTTCTGAATGACAAATATTTCCCACCTTGAGATGGATATTATTAATATCATCTGGAAAAATAAGATGTGTAATTTAATGTAGATAAGATCATTAAATTATGACCTACACTTCAATATATAAGACAAGTGGATTCAAATTCATGATATGACAGTCGACAACTTGCTGTCTAGACCGTTGAAGCACAACCTCAGACAATCAAAGAATACTCGATAGTAGTTTTATCTTTGTTCAATAAATTTTTTTCAAGAAAAGTATACTTAACTATGTTGACTTGTAAACTCCAAGTTTACATCTATCACGGGGAACATGTCATTTAGCCAATGGCCATACCTTATTAGCTGACAACACAAGAATGCATAATTATCAATAAAATGTAAAAAAAAGTTTTATTTTAATGAAATTTTCGTCTTGCACTTGCAGTTTATGTTGCGATTCATGTAACATGCTTAAAAAGAATTGCAGATATGATTAAAGAAATTGAACAAAAAAAATCATTGTATACACAAATACACACATGATTGAACTACACAATATTGGCACATTCAATTTAAAGAGTTGAAATGATGCTTAGCAACATTTAGGAGTATACATGGCCAAGAAACATGCGTTATGATATATATATATATATATATATATATATATATATATCGATGCTGAAGTAAATTTATTGATAATTTAATCAATCATTGGTTGCGAATTCATAAAATGTATCTATTACATACTTTTCTAATCACCTTATCCTGGCAATTTTATGCAATACTCTTCATGAAAGCGAATCACGAGACGAATGAATTAAGGGAGGAAAAAATATGCAACCTTATGATAAGATAGAGAGGTTAACCGTAGCTAATAAATGTTTAACGTGGGATCTAGTAGGAATCAGTTGTCTAGCTAACTTAAATGTCAAAGGTTAAACAGCATTAAATGGTGGGGAAGTTTGGTAATGCAAACTAATTAAATCACTTATGTTACGATTTGGTAGTGATGACTTCGACAAAAGATAAAATGTTAAACGACAAATAAACTAAAGAACTAAGATATTCATTTTGTATACCACACAAAATCAAATAATACTGTAAAAAATTCAAAGAGATGAAGGCAAAACAGTGAAGGTCCGGAAAATATTACCTTTGCTTGAAAATAGAACTCAATGATACTATTTGAATGTTTTAATATAACAAAAGAAACTGTAGTACAAATGCAACCCAACTAAGCTCTTAGCTACAGCTCACAGCGTTTTAATTAGTTTGGTTTTGAGATCTATAAAATTTCATACAGAAGAAAGATAGCATAGATAGTAACATATGTCAAATATTCTTCAATTGCAGGTTTCAGGTAGTGAGATGACTGATCAAAACATCTACAGACTATTTGAAAACCAACCATTCATATCAAGATGGTCCGGCCTGATATACGTCGCTCTAACTCTTTCTGTGAGAAGAATTATCTAATATGATGAATTCTTATCGAAACTTACACAACTACCAATATGAACATTCTTGTGTACCAGGTTGAAATGTACAGCACGACTAACTTCATGAGTTTTCACTTCACACAGTTCACAGCAGATCTTCAAGTGGGTGAGTATCAGCCAGCTAAAGCATACAAACAATGTAGCCAGGGTAAATAACTCAGCAGACTAGTTGAGATGCCTAGAATTCATTATTTTCTTGATTATTTCTGGGGTGGGATGTTCGTGCGTCGTGGTACATGAATCACGGTTTTTTTGAGTCATAGAGATGTCTTTTTAAAAAATTCTTGCGCTCTTAATTTACCCTTCAAACACATTAAAACGATCTATTGACCGATCTAAAAAGGCATAATCTAAGACGTTAGTCATGCGATTATTAGTGGTGGTGTTGATAAAGTCTTGTGGCGAACAACGAGGAAAGGCTTAACCAATAAAAAATTGTTGCACAAGACATATTCATCTGTAAATATTAACGGCTGTCTGAGGTTTGATATTCTGACTTATATGCCTAAATTAAAGGAGCTAGTGTAGCTCATCGATGCAAACTGACAATTCAATGCCAATGAGATCCTCATCTACACTGTTATTACGTTGCCCTACATAAATTGATTGATAAAAAAGTAGTAAACTGAGTTTATATCAAATGTAAAAAATATCGTTTGCTCATCCAATCTGATGAAATTAGAGTCTAATTGACTTTAGTTTAGTTCCTCATATCACTGTAACCCAAAGATTTCTATTGGATAGGAGTAGATTGATAACCTAGATTTGTACACATTGAACTATCGGTTATTGGATAGACGGATTCAGGAAAATTGCATCATATTTAAAAAGTACCGACAAACTGGAAATGCTTACTAAAACACGAAATTTATTGTCAAAAAATAATCTATAAACAATATTCAAGTAGTTTATACTGCAAGGTAAAGAATCAAATGCTTAAAAGATTAGTTGACTAAAGTTAAACTATGTGATTTCCACTGATCTAAATAAAAGCTTACTGAATTGAATAATATTGCATGTATATATATATCCTGCCAATAAAATGGTGTAAAGATGATGGATAATTTAAATTCATGTCTACTGAAATTTGATTCAGATCGTTTAGTTCCTTCATCACTAAATTTATTCATATAATTTCAAAGTAAGAAAACAAAAACACAGCTATTGTTGTATTATCCAGACAGTTCAGGGACAACTCATGATATCGTTAAAAGAAGTTCAATGAATATTTTTCATTTTGCATTTACTTATTAAAAATAGTTCAATGAAAACATGAATATGCCTAATCATATGATTCATAGAATATAGAATGAGTTATTGATATTTTGAAGTTAATTGTCTCAATGGTCTATCGGTTAAGTGCTCCGGCGCGAGACTGGTAGGTCCTGGGTTCGAATCTCGTGAGGCGGGATAGTGGATGCGCACTGCTGAGAAGTCCCACATTAGGACGAAACGGCCATCCAATGCTTCCAGGTTTTTCATGGTGGTCTAGCTGAGCTGGCATCCAACGGTGTTAATTTCTAACTTCAACTGATTCAGTGGTCTATCGGTTAAGGGCTTCGGCTCGAAACTGGTAGGTCCTGAGTTCGAATCCCGCGAGAGTGGGTTCGTGGACGCGCACTGCTGAGGAGTCCCATAATAGGACGAAACGGCCGTCCAGTGCTTCCAGGTTTTCCATGGTAGTCTAGCTTCAATTGACTCATGATCTCAACTCTATAAAATTGTTATACTTGTTATGGAAAATAAAATACGTTAAAGAAATTAATTGTTGACTAGTTATTTGTTTAGATATATTATATTAGCAACAAATAGATCGTTTAAATGAGTAAAAAAAGGTATTTTAAAAGATCTATTGCTTTACAAAATAAATCCCAAATCATATTATATAATAAGAAATTGTAAGCAATTTAATTATTCACTAAGAAAGAGCAATAATTCAACCTTTGTAGACTTATACATTTTATAATGTGTCTAGTCAATTATATTCTGATGTTAATTTGGTAAATTGCAGTTTCTTGAAAATCATATTTTGTGATTGAAGATGTTGAATGAAATGGGTTAGTATCAGTCACTGTGATGCAGATGAATTCATTCTTGATGAGATTATAATTCAATGATGAAGCAATCAGAAGTGGATGAGCGATTTCAAGGTCACGGAGCCTCTTTTAATATCTAATGTCCACTTACGATCGGTTTACAGCTGATTTCAAGGAGGTCGCTATATATGAGCGGCCACAACTGGTGGGATTGCTGGAAAGTTCATTTATTTATGATTGCAGTGTTCAAATGACTGCTGGATATTGTGCAGACTATCGTGACGATGTTGTTTTTTTGGTGTAATATATGTTGGAGCAAAACGTCTGTTAGAAAGGAAACTTTTTCACTCAATTCCGATTGACATTAAGACAGGTTATGATAATTTTTGTAAACTAGATAATCAAAGCATCATTAACACTGGCTTCAACCCTTGAAGATGTCACTGAAACTTCGGTCCTTCAGTGGTTTGAGTACTGTCGAGAAAATTGTGCTATGAAAATGACAAGCTTGAATCAGTCGTTCGAAAGAATCAGGAAAATCGTAGAAATCGACGAAAAATTCACTAGAAAACGCAGATTTAATGTAGAAAGTGTTAAAGAAAATTGGGTATGTAGCACTTCCTTAGGTATACTGAGCAGGTCTTCGTTATGTATGATAGATCGTCTCTAAAAGGACACTGGAGAGCATATCGATGCCCATTTAGACTTGGTTACGTGTATCGTATCGTCGTTCAAAAGTGACATTTTGTAGACCCCACCACAGGAGTACACACCAATAAAACAGAAGCAATATGGTCGAGGCTAAAAGAATTTCTGTGACCTTATCATGGATGCAGAGGTCGGCAATTATGGAGTCACTTGGATGAGTCCGGGTGCTGTATCCATTACAATTTCAGAAGTGCAGGGTCTCTTTCTAACTTCGAAAAGTGTCTAAATCATGCCAAAGAGTGCATACACTCTAATTCTTTAGTTTTCTATGATATATTCTTGCTCTATACCGTCTGTTTTCTGATTGGTTGAAACTTCTCAAGGTCACTCAACATTCGTTTATAGGTTGTCCGCAAATTATAGTCTCGCCTCACACTATCTTAATTAAGATTATGAATTCAAATCCTCCCTCGTATGTATTCCTTCATTCTTTCTTATGAAAACATTTTACCAATGTTTGATTTCTTATTGTCATTGTTCCAACTTTATTCCCATATCTTTTGATATTGATCTGATTAATTTCATTTTGTAGTGCTAATGTGGTGTGGGATATTGAGCTAAAACATATTTGTCCCAGGCGTTGGGATGATTATTAGTGACTGATTAGAAACTTTAGAAGTATGTTGCATCACATTTTAAGTAATAATCCAACAGAACTCCTTTCCGCATAGGTAAATACCAAATTAAAGTAAATACTGGTTACAGTGTAAAGTATTTTGTTCAATATTTAACAACTGTGTGGGAATCCAGTAATTGTTTTTTTTAAGTATCAAACCTAATCGTCATGGAAGTGGTTTTTCATTAATTTACCAGTAATTTCATTACTTATTGAAATTAACTTTTTACTAAAGTTTCTACTTAGTTAAGAGTCACTTTTGACTGCATTTTGCCCATTCAAGTCAGTTGTACATGAAGTGAAAATCGAGCATTTTAGCATTGTCATAAACGAAAGATACAACTTTGATCAATATTGTACTAAATATTTGATAAACCTTAGTAAACTGACTATTGGAACATTCTAATTGTTGACAATTAGTCAATTAGTACGCTTCATTTACGACAATGATATCATGTGATTTTTATTTTTATATGGAAGGAGAAAAACCGTCAAGTTATTCAGTGTGTTTAGAAGGGACTAGGATGAAAGAGATCAAACTAGTAGTCAATCATTCATAGACTAAAGTAGTACACTGCTAGCATTTCAATCATCCAAACCTAAATACAAGGTAACCAGATCAAACTTTGAAATAGTTTGCATCACGGACTGACTTCATGTAGTATAATCTTGATAACTAAAGAGCACTAGATAGTTGTTTTGTATCCTCAGTCATGTGTACTGACACATTATGAATCGAATTTAGGACCTTCAGGTTTGATAGAGAGAGTCGTCTTCAGATTGCCTATTCATTGTCCAACCATCCATACTCCCAAGTTCAAAAAAATTATTTTAATTGATCATAACTTTTATTTTCCTGTAAAGCATAAAAAGTTCACTATGCAAATAACTCAATCCGACTGAAATAAACATAAGGGTATGATGATGTTGGCATACAATGAATCACCTACGTCATAACTATTTTTTTTGTTCTTGAATAAAATGAAATAAACATATCAACAGATTGTATTGTTGGTTATGAAGTGAGAAAAATGAAGATAAGGAAAAAGGATTTAATAATCAATTTTTCTCCACTGAAGATTAACGATTTAATAAAAATAATCGAATTTTCGATAAAAACAGACATGCAAGGACGTGATTCTCACCATATTTAAAAAAAAATAGAACAATGAATGTCCGTGCTTGCATATATATATATATATATATATATATATATACATGTGGACGCTTATGTTGTGTAAGTACTTTGATTGCAATGATTCAGCATTAGTCATAGTGTTATTATTTATTATGTACAAGTTAATATACAAACTAGTTGTCTATGTAATGTGTGTATCAGTGTGCCTATATGTTAGTGTATATATATGGTTAGACATACTTGGGGTACTTTAAAAAATTGTGACCAAGGTAATAATTTAATTATTTCTGTGTACACATGTAAGACACGCATGAAACTAGAAGTTTAACAGAGTTGAACTAAATATTTGAATTAAATAAATCTATTCTGATACTTGTTAAATGATACCGATTATTTTCAAAACAAGATCATGTATTCGATAAATAGAGTCATAAACTAAATCCAAAATAGACAAATGGTTTCTTACATTGTACATTTATTCACATTAATAATAACGGAACATTTCAGTTATGATAAATTCATTAAAAATATCACTATTCTTATAGTGATGTCATTAATTCCTTTAGAAAATCAATATTTTTTAGAAAGCAAGTGTAATGAACTTTTGGAAGGCGATTTAACAACAAATAATCTAGTCACTGGTCTAAGCACTATATAACATTGTAATTAGCTGTAAGTGCAAGTTACTGGTCGTTTATCCTTTGGATATTTTTCTTACAACTTAGATTGACAGAACAATTTTAGACATTTTTCATAGTTGAAATCATGAGTCGATTGAAGCTAGACCACCATCGAAAACCTGGAAGCATTGGACGGCCGTTTCGTTCTATTATGGGACTTCTCAGCAGTGCGCATCCACGATCCCGCCTAGCGAGATTCAAACCCAGGACCTACTAGTCTTGCACTAGAGCGCCTAACCGATAGACCACTGAGCCGGTATGCGATGGTGTCAACGTCTAACTTCAACCATTCCACGAAGTTGAGCAACCGTTCATCAATTGTCTTCAGTGAGTTGATATCTCCCAAAAGACCTGGTTGAACTCCACTAGTCACTGCTTCCCACTAGAACTCCAGGAAATATCTCTTGAAGTCAGTCATTAGTGAGCATATGATTATAGATCAGAAGGGGTTTTGTGGATATTTCAGTATTTTTCATAGTTGAAATCATGAGTCATCTTAAGCCTTACACTGACTGATCATTGAATTTTAACCTATATCAAATTGTCTAGTAGATAAAATTAATTGAATTTTATCAATTACATCACAATGCAAATAATGAGCCAAGTGAATTGAACTCGTAGCCCACATTTTAAATGGCTATAAATAATCGAGTGGCAACTGTTTGACCAGCCTTAACTTAAACAATATATCATATGAGTTTGATTATTTAAAAGAGTGCAAGTTTGTTCAAATTTCGGACATTTTTCCTGGTGATTTCAAATCTATACAGAATTTTGATTAAGATTTTTTTACCACTTAATCATCTAAAATTCCATACTTTCTTTCAAGCAACTCTCATTCTAGAATACATCTTGTAGTAAAAAATTGGAACACAAAGTGTAATCATATCAACTTTGTAAATAATTAAACGAAATATCTTCCTAATGTGAATAACTTCTTCAAAGTATTCAACAAATAAATAGAACATTTGTAGACTTTGTGAATAAATGAACAAATAACAATGTAGGATAATTTGTTGAATAGTAATATTTGTTATTTAGAAAAAATGGCTATAGTGAATGTTTTCATGGTGACTTAATTAACTAAATAAACTTATTTGAAATGATTTTGAATCTCTATCCTCTCGTTTGAAGGAAAAAATAAAAAAAACCATAATGCTTTAATATTAAATTAACAAACCTCAACAACTGCTTCACCACAATAACCACATCTAGGTGAGAACATTTTTAGATGACATTGAGTACAATAAGCTTGATCATCACGTTCATAAAAATCTTGACGAACTAAACCAACACGACAACTAGCACAAGTGAAATGTTCCGGATGCCATTCTTTACCAATAGCTGTTATTAACTAATAAAATATATTGGAATAGTAAAAACAAATACAAGAGATCAGAATATATGTTATATATACATGTAAACAAATTGAATTGTCTATTCTAAATCTTCTATAGAAGAAACTAATTTTTGGCGTGATAAATTTCTAAGACTTTAATTTTGTAAAAAGAAACATTGATTCCTAAAACAAGATATTTTAATAGATTATTCCTCACCTTTTATATATGTTCAAGTTATATCAGATAACAATAAATAATTGCGTCTCTGATGTAATCAACTCATGAATTGCTATCATTAGAATGGATAAAATGATAAAGAATCACTTATAAAGTGATCTTAATAATCAGAAAGGAGTTTTGTGGAGATTTTAGTCTTCAGTGAGTTGATATCTCCCAAAAGATCTGGTTGAACTACACTGTTTACTGCTTCTCACTAGAAGTCCAGGAAATGCCTCATGGAGCCAGTCACTAGTGAGAATATGATCATTATCAGAAAGGGTCCTGGATTTGAATCTCGTGAGGCGGGATCGTGGATGCGCACTACTGAGGAGTCCCACAATAGGACGAAACGGCCGTCCAATGCTTCCAGGTTTTTGATGATGGTCTAGCTTCAATTGACTTATGATCTCAACTATATATGATCTTAATAACGTTGGTTATAACAATGATATAAATAATAGTCCATATCAATGATGAAAAAAATAGATAAAAGTTTAGATGGTCAAGATGTTAGGGCATTAAACAGTCAAAACGAATAACAATAGAAATTATTAGGTTAAATAAGTGAAATGTTGCACGGTTAACTGTATTAACATTTTTAACTTTATTTTCAATTAGGTCTCCATACCTATTGTCTGGATTATATTATCATTAACGTTATCACTATTATCATTATTGAAGAGAGCACGAACAAAGACTTGAGTAGAATAAGATAAATTTATTTTATTTCATTTGGTTCTTGTCAGCTGTGTACAACCTGTGATATTTAAAAATCATAATTACAGAATGAGTTCTAACTACTTACATAAAAAAGTTTAATTGGAAGTTACGAAGATACCACATTAGTATAGCATAGCAAGGGTGTAAATAAATTTAACAGATCTAATAAAATATTGTGAATATATGCCTTACGTAAAAGAACATTCTACAACAGTGGTAGTAACTAAAGTCCAAAGGGTTAGAAAAAAATGGTTACTCAATGATTAGACACTAATACTAAGGGAGAATAAGATGTGTAAAGGTCAGTTAATTAAAATAAGATTACTAATCTAGAAAACAGTCAAATTAAAAAGACGTAATCACGTAATCAGCTAAAGGAACGAGTTGAACAAAATTTATCAAACAAAGAAAGATAAACAACTATCTCCATTTTAACACAATATCAAGTTTCTCACGTTTGATAGTCACGTCTTCAGTAAACTTCAGAAAACTAGAGCTTGGCTATTTATTAACCACCTTGAAAGGTTGCAAGATATCGACCTGATATCCTGTATCTAAGAGATGTTTGGTAATTGCACCGTTCAAACTAGTTTTCTCTCTAACCTGAAGACTTTTCGGAACATTTTAAAAATTCTGAGATATACCCTTCTTTCTGTTGAGTCAGTTTAGATGCTTTGACAGGTACACATAAATTTATAAACATAGTTAGCGGTAACATGAAAAGGGTCCTCATCGACCTTTGATTGCTTTATTGAACATGTTGTTTTATACAGTATTAACAGTTTGGATGCCTAGTACGTTCTGGCCAATACAGTTTCAATCCTAATGATGATTTTTCTTGCGACATCATCAGCTTTGAAGCTGAGATTTATAGATATCGCTTTTATATTGACTATAGCCCCACACATCTTGCTTTTCTGGATTTTTTTACATTTGTTAACAAAGTTTTGTTGGTAGCAGTTATCTCCTAGACATTTTCCACTTTCATCAATTCTTTTTCCAGTTTGCCAGTGTTACACATCCTCTCCACTCCATAAAACAGTGTTTTTACAACACTTTTTTGTGACTGATTGGACAAAAGCTGTTAAAGTTCAAGCAGAGACAATCCCAAAAACTTTTACAATAAACTTAACATTGAACTATTCCGTTTCCGTTTTGTTATATGACGACGTAAAGAAAGTGGAACATATCATTTTTTTCGTACTCTATAGTAAATTGTATGTTGAGATGAGCATTAATAAAGAGTTCCTACAGGTGGCTTGGATGGTGTTTACTGTTGCAGACAATAAGCGTATCACCAACATATCTGAAGTATTCCCTTGTTTCATTAATCTCCGTGTTTTCAAAATAACCTATAAAAATATCTACCATAATTGGACTCACTGAACTTAACATTATTGTTATCATTCTAAAAGAAGATTTTAAGCCTTAGCAACATGTTATTAATTTAAGGTATAATAAAATGCAGCAGTTCATTGTTTGACACACAAAAATTATTTCAGCCAGTAATTTAGATAGAGTGTTTAACATAATTGAAAAAAATACATACTGTATTTCATGAATGAATGAAATATTATTACAATCAATGTAATCAGTAGACTATATGTAAATGAATTTAGATTTACCGTTCCATTTATAGGCTTTTGACAAGCATAACACTGTCCACGAGGATTAGTTTTCGCACCATGCTGAGATAGTTCAGACGATAAATCATTAAGCATTGAATTTAATAGTTGAGTTGGACCTTGTTCTGTAGATGAAACATTGTTGATCTGATCGTAATTCGGTGGTATTATACGTTTAGCATTATGCCTTTGTAATCGTGCAGTAACGTTCAAATTATCAGTATTTTGATGAATTTTATTGTCATGATGCTGATCATAATTATAATTGCTGTTAATATCTACTGTCACACTGTTATTATTGATACTATTAGTGCTACTATTAGTATCAAACTTATAATTTGATGTTGTAGAAGACTTTTGTGAAGGTGTTCGTGAATTTCTTTGATGAATATCGGATATTGAATTATCAGTGACTGAATTACTAATATTAATTAGTAGTTCAGCACCAGAATCGCTTTGATGATTATTAATCTATAAGCCAAACAAGAAAAAAATATCTACGTAAAGATTCTTTTTTTTCCATTTTACCAGTTATATTCACGAACTATAATTCTATTCAAAGTGAAAGCATCAATTGTCTTTGTGAACTAATATAAAAGTAACATGGCTTTACTCTAAGCAATTATTGTTAAGAATGTATACTCAATGTTTTCATATTGTTTAGTGTAATATTGTCCGTGTAAAAACTTTAGAACTGTAGATGATACAGTGGTGAATGATTAGTGTGTTTTTTAATTTCATTGGTCTGATAAATTTACAATTGGCTTTGATGAATTTTATGGAAAAAAGAAATCTGATGCTCATTAGTGATTCCATTGAAAAATAAAGCATTAGTCTGTGTAAATTAAATAAAACTGGAAGATAAGATAACCTTCAGTCTTTAACGTTGATATTTATTTTGTTCATTAAATGTTCAACAGTAAAATAGTAATTAAAGTAATAAATTTAAATACACATTGTAGGATGAAACGGATATCCAGTGCTTTCAGTTTTTCAATAGTGGTTCAAGATTGGTCAGTTCATGATCTTAATAAAAACTCAGCAATCTCCACAACCCTATTCTGATAACACTACATCATATGAAATCCACTATTAAAACACAACGTCTATAATCGATAAAACAACCCAGATTACATCTTGTAAACTGAATGTACAGCCTACTTATATCAGACTTTACTTTTAATAAAGTATAGAAAAAAACCTTTGATAACATTTGCCAATTTATTCAAACATACATTTTATAGTATACCAACCTTGAAGATTTAATTTGATCAAAAAAATAAAATTCATAAATAATACCAATGTTTTCAATGATATCAGTTAAGTTGCATTTTCATATTTTAATGATTGAAAGAAAGAAAAACACCGCCTAATGATTTAAACGTATAAAATCACATGATAGTTGACTATTAGATAATTGTTTCTTAAATAGATATCAAATTTATTTCGATGAAATGGTTACAAAAAGTGATGATGATAATGATGATGATGATGATGATGATGATGATGATGATGATGATGATGATGATGATGATGATGATGATGATGATGATGAAACATACAGAAAAAACAGTCCAAGTTGAGATGCAATTTATGTGAAGGAAAAATAACTCGTATGTGTGCGATGATTTAGTGCAATAATTACATCGTGGTTCCTGTTTAATAATTATCTTTTTTACAATAAGTAGATCCTTTCTTCGATTTTCTTTAGAATCTATTCAACGTTAACATATAATCACTGTAAATGATATCTGTGAAGTACAAATTTTCCTATCAGTACTCGTTTTCGAAAGAAAATATACATTAACAAAATCACTGTTTCTTTGATTACAGTAAGACTATCTTCAGCGTATTTAATACAGCTGATAATTACATTCAAGTTTGTCTGTCTTTTCATCTGGTTACTTAGTGATGTAAAATGATATTCGCTGTTCATGAAAATAGAGAATCGAGAAACCCTTCGATTTTGGTAACTTAGTATCTATTGCCTAAATATACAAATGAAGAAACTATGTGTTACTGATATGGAACATGGTTTAAAATTTCACAGTTAATGTCTTTCAAATATTTTATTATCTGGCAAAAATAGAACAGATATAACTTATGTTCGATTGGTAATGAAAAAAGGTTACAAATACTTTATATGAATAATGGCAATTAAATATCTGGATGTAATGAAAGCTTGACCTATCACTACATTTTATGAACGCTCATATTTCACCATATCGCATAACTCTAAAAAATATTGCCAATAAATGTAGAACCTGTTTATAAATACTACTGAGTCTTTGATATGAATATATAAATATTAGACTAGATCTTGTTTAAAATAAATAGTACCTATCAACTTATGTGGTATCATTATTAATTCTTTCCTTACCCGTCTGTGATTGGTGAACGGAATAGGAATTTCATGAAAATTCTAATAGTGCTTTCATAAACTGGCAACCAGAAGCGTTGTATTCACTTTAATCTATAGCTTATTTATGAGCCTTGGTGGAAACAGTGCAACTGAGATAAAAAATATTTAATTCTGAACTTTGAGTACGAGTATGAGTACATAAATGGATATAAATCATTGATTCAATACTTATTTAGCGCATTCCTTTAGTGAACCTAGTAGATGGCTAGTTGACATCACCAACTCTGGGTACTTCCATTTTATGAATAACGTACAAGCTTACAGTTATTACAGAGCTGTGACTAACTAATTAGTATTCCAAATAACTTTTTATTTGGTTTAGTGTTTAGTATTGTGTGCAGCAGTTTTTCTCAAGTGACCAAATATCCATACCTCGTAAAAGTAGTGATCATGGCAGAAGAAATCATTGATCTTATGACGAATTAGTTACCGGAAGATGAGACATAGACATAGTTATTACTCTTATTATTATTATCATTAATATTAATGGCTTTATTCAATACTATATCTTAAGTACAATATAGAATTCCCAGAATACGCGCTTTTAATTTGAATAGAATTCAACACTTCCTGCATAATATTGACATGATGATGATAAATTTCTGCACCTAGTTTGCTGTGTGTGACAATATGTTATTTCCTAAAATCTACATTAAACAGAATATAACTGTAATAGCTGTGAAAGTATGACGTTGACTTTGTCACTACTACTTCTCATAGAACACGAATCATATATCTAATTCAACAGATAAAATACATGTAAATACTGTTAAAGTTTTAAGAAGGAAAGAGTGAATGATTGTTAACTCCCATACCAGGTTTCCCAAAATGATTTAAGAGTAAAGATAAAAATAACTGCAAGAAAGTAGGGACGGCGAGTCTTGCTGACTAACTTTCATCTAACTCATTGGTAAGGTATTTATCTAAAACTAAATTGGAGTTTGCTTTGATTCTCTGCGTTTAGTGTTTCAACAAACTCAATGAACCATAGCGCAGTAAATGACAGTCTCAGGCTATAAATTCATAAATGGGATCTCGTAAACAAGACGACAGAATCTAAGATGATTATCAGCAATAAATAAGACAATACAAATCAGAAATAAATGTAAATGATCTCTGCAAAGATATGAGTTTTTGAAAGTATCATTACATCTTTCAGGAATAATAGCTGACATCTTGTAAATTTGAATACTAATATCTCTGTCAAAGTTTTCCTGACATGTGATTCTGAATAAGCTTTATTTCATTTGCACAATTAAACGGGATTACCTAATACCAAGTTCTCGTTATTTAATTGATGGCAAAGAGTTAGCACAATAGATTTTGAAGCATTTTTCAAAGTTGAAATCATGAGTCAATTGAAGCTAGACCACCATCGAAAACCTCCAGGTTTTCGATACTGAAATCTCCACAAATCCCCTTCAGATTTTGAAGCATTAAAACAACATTTTCCATGGTCAGAAGCTCCAAAATTTTTCGACAAAATCACCACATGTGTTATTCAAGATAGATATTCAAATCGATCTTGCATTTTATCATAAATGCACAATACTAAGGAGTTTAAAACTAAGGTGAAACAACTGTTTATCCTCATGGTTTTAAACAGTTCTTCAAATGATTTCATTTTAGTTTGGAAAATTATCCTTAATGCACACAACTTATTAGTACTAATTTAGACTACGGTTGCGACAGGTAAAACATAAAAGTTATGGCCTCTGTGAACTGGTATAAATATTAAACCTTACACTACGGAAAGGAATCTGATGAGAAGCGCTGATGTTTTTCTATAGTTACTTGTCATAAAGTTTTAGGTATTGAACTGTTTAAATTCAGGATATTTAAATATTTTCATAGTTTAAATCACGAGTCAATCCAAACTAGACCACCATTGAAACTTGGATGCACTAGACGGCGTTTCGTCCTAGCGTCGGACTCTTCAGCAATGCACACCCACGATCTAGCAATCAGGACTCGAATGCAGGACCTTTAGTCTCTTGCGCGAACACTCAACCTCTAGAATACTGAGCGATATAAAACGGTGTTAATTTTCAACTTCAATCAATTCATGATCATGCGCAACCCTTGGTCCATTTTTTGAGGTGGATAACTGTCTCACACTTTAAATAGATTGAACTCCACTGGTCAGGGATAGTCACTAAAATTCCAGGAGTTGCATTTTTAAGCTAGTCACTAGTGAGCACATAACATTTAAATATCTAAACGATAAGCAGCAATTTTTATGGGACTACCAGTTTGCTCACTTTAAAAACTACTGTAGAAGTGTTCTAGAAATTCGAATAAAATTTCTAATTTCGAAACACTTGTATGCATGCTGTGACCTACCTTGAATCAGGATTTGTGTATTGAGGCGATAAATTATCTTTACTATTACAATCCATTTAGTTCTAAACCGAATATTCGTTATTTTTATGATTGATAGTGTAAAGTGAATTAAATATACCAGTCTTCTTTAATTTAATACATCACATAATTTATTCCAACCATTAGTATAGAAAGTGTTTAATCTAATAAAAGTTATTCACAGTTATAAAGTTGAGAGCGATTTACCACAAACTGTAGAAGTACTCAACTGGATCACTCTTAGCCTGACAACAGAACACAATTAATATGCAGAATGTCAAACAATTCAACATTCCTTTATGCCAGGGTAAATGTATAATATTATTTCAGTTATCAGTCTTAAACTCAGTTACATATTTTACAACATAATTCTAACTTCAATTTGTCATATACAAATTTGATATTTTGTATCATAAAAGCAATACAAGAACAGTTAACCTGTAAGGACTGAGATCAAACATGACTAACTGATTATTTTGACAGCGCAATAATATATTCTATATATAAAGAAAAAGCGCTGATAATGCTCACTTTCGACGATTTTTTTCTCAGGCTTTACAATCGCATATAAATCAATAAACATGACACTTACACGATAACAGTAAAAAAAAGAGATTGTGATAAGAATTCTCATTTTGTTGAATGTTAAACTAATGACAATGAGACTTTAATGTGTCAACATAATTCT